CAGACCTCCGGCGGCGTCGAGGTCAGGTGAGGCTGAATCCGCGAATTCGTGGCCCTAAATTTTAGTGTTGAGGGCAGGTACCTTCCCCGCCAGCCTTTGTGTTCGCGTTCATTTTCGCGGAGGGGAAAATGAGGTTATTCGGTTTTATGCAAGAGGCTTTTCATAGGATAGGATAGGATAGGATAGGCCGCGGGGAGAGAGAATGTTGTTGGGAGTGCGATGTCGAGGGTGTGCTGTTCGGAGCAATTTCCGAACGGGTTCCGGGAAAAGCAATGTGCGCTGATGCTTCGCGGGCGTGATTCGAAGCTCCGAGCCGCGGGTTCAGATCGAAAGTGCCGGCGTACGTGACGTCCTCGGCACACACATACCAATAGCATATCAACGCCTGTCCTGAGAGGGTAAAAGCAGGGAAGAGACGGACGGGAAAAGCGAAAGAGAGCGAGACAGAGAGACAGCGAGGGAGACATGTTGACGCTGGTGTGATCGCGTCGGCTCGGTCGCCCGGGTCGGAGGAGGAGCAACCGCAAGTGAAATTACTGGCTTGGGCGTCGAGGGCTTTGTCAATATTTCCGCACAGGCGAAGGAGGAGGACGAAGAGGAGCAGGAGCAGGAGGAAGTAGGAGAAATAGAGGAAAAGGAAGAAGTAGAAATAGAAGAGGAGGGAGTAGGAGAAATAGAAGGGGAGGAGGAGGAGCAGGAAGAAGTAGAACAGGAGGAAAGAAGTAGAATTAGACAGTAGAAATAGGAAGTAGAAATAAAAGAGGAAGAAGTAGAAATAGAAGAGGAGGAAGAAGAAGTAGAAATAGATAAGGAGGAGGAAGCGAAATAAGTAGGAGGAAGAGGAGGAGGAGGACGGGAAGTAGGAGGGGGAAGGCAGGCAGGCAGGCGGGTCGGGCAGACAGAAAGGCGGACGCACGGGCTCGGACGGGTCAACACACCAGAAAATGTAATAATGTGCGTGCGTGCGTGCGTTCAAGTAACCTCCCGCATCACTCGGGGCAGAGGGCTTGGCGTGTGATGAGCCGAGGTGTTTGTGGATCGCGAGGAAGTGATGAATAATGAATGGGATTCTCCTTCTCGATAGCGGCTCGTCTTTCCGGGAAATCGTGAAGGTGAAGGATCCGGAGACGCCTTTGGGGAGCGAGGGGGAGGGGGGGGGGGGGGGGGGAGGAGGAGGAGGAGGAGGTGTTCGCCGACGGAAGTAGATCCTGGTTTTTGAGTACTCGCGGTATTTTGTCGTCTGCCTGATCTTTATGAGCGATTGCATTATAAACATTGTTAGTACTGGCTGCGTCATTGTTAGCATTAGTAGAATTACTTTGCTTTTGTTGTTTTTTTTTTATTATTATTTTTGATAATTGTTTAGCAGGGTTACGTTACACTGTATACAACACACATATAGATAAATTATAATGTGTGTGTGTGTGTGTGTGTGTGTGTGTGTGTGTGTGTGTGTGTGTGTGTGTGTGTGTGTGTGTGTGTGTGTGTGTGTGTGTGCACACTCAGGAGAACCACCTTCCCCCTATTTATCACCTTCATTGTCTTTGAGTCCCTCCTGCATCATCACTCTCTCTTCTCTCTCGCAACCTGCTCCACAAACACGTATACATAAAGTCAAACATGAAAGGAAACGTTTGGTAGTTATCATTATTATTTTATCAGTTCGTATATTGGGACCATACACTCTGATATAAAACAAAACCAGAATTAATGGTATAGATCAGGGAATCCCAACCAGGGGGCCATAACTCCCAGGGGGCGACGGGGTACTTTGTGGGAGGTCATGGAGCAATATGAAAATTATGACGTCGAAACGAACTAATTTTATCTCACCTACAATACCTATATACAGTTAGCTCTTGTATATCAATGAATTGGAATCTTTCCCTAAAGTGTTCTTATCCTATAGCAATTAACACCATTACACTATTCATAATACATGATAATCGAATCTGAAAATAATGACTGGCATTGAATGGGACCTTGGAGATTATATATTAGTCGGGATCACAGAATGAAATAAAGTTGGGAACCGCTTGTATAGTTTATTATCATTTTTCCACCATCATCATCACCATCATCATCATCATCATCATCATCATCATCATCATCATCATCATCATCATCTCCATCATCATCATCGTCATCACCATCATAATAATCTCCCCCCCACTAACACCATTCTGACAGAATAATAATATTAGTAAACGATAATGAACATAATTAACCACCCCCTCCTTCTTCTTCCCCTCCGCCAGGTATATGTTCTTGGCGATCTACTCGGCGGAGATGATGATCAAGACAGTGGCCAAGGGCTTCATCCTGAACAAGTACACATACCTACGCAACCCGTGGAATTGGCTGGACTTCGTGGTGATTGTGTCCGGCTACGTCACCACCGTCATAGAGCTGGGCGATATGGACGTCCAGCTGGGGAATCTCGCGGGACTTCGGACCTTCCGTGTCCTGAGGGCGCTCAAGACGGTGTCTATCATGCCTGGTGAGTGGGCGGAGTTTGGATTCGTTTCGGGTGCTTAAGGGGTTGGAGTAGAGGGTTTGGTCTGGCTTCGGGGATTTTTAAGAGAAACATGAGGATTTGTTTTGCCTCCGATGTTCTTTTCGAGGATTTTTTTCAAGATAATGACGAGGGTTTGTTTTGGTTTCATTTTTTAAAAGATGAATACGAGGGTTTCTTTGGGTTTCGATGCTTTTTTTTCAAGGTAAACAAGACGGTTTGTTTTGGTTTCATTGTTGTTATTTTTTCAAGATAAACACGAAGGTTTGGTTTGGTTTCGATGATTTACGATGATTAATGATATGTTTTTCTTTAATGATTGATTAATGCTAGGGTTTGTTTTGATTGCGATGCTGTTTTTAAAATAAATGATTGGGTTTGTTTGGACTTTAAAAGGCAAATGATAGGGTTTAAAAAAAAAGGTTTGGTTTGACTTAATGGTAAACGTTTTTTTTTTTTTTTTTTTTTGGGGGGGGGTAAAATAGGGTTTTAATTGCGATGTTTTTGGAAGTAGATTTTTAGGGTTTGTTTTGATTCGACATTTTTGAAAATTAATTGATTGGCTTTGTTTTGATTTCGATGTTTTCTAGTATAATAAATAATAGGATTTGTTTGGATCTTGACTTTTTTAAAACTATTATTGGTATTGGTTTTAATTTCGTCTTTCTAAAATGATTGATTGAATTTTAATTTTTAGATTTATTTATTGATTGAATTTACTTTTTAGATTTCTTTATTGGCTTCTGTTGTGTCTTCGGCTTGCATTGATCCTCCGTCTTCGTCGTCTTGTTAAAATTTTCTTTGTTTTTAATAGAGATGAGTCTACCTTTATGCTATCTTCTTTTTCTTTCTTCTCCTTTTTTCTTTTTTCTTGTACTTTCCATTGTCATTTTCATTTTCTTTTTCTTTTTCCTTCTTTTCCCTCTCCTCATTCTTTTACTTCTGCTTCTTTTCTCTTCTTCTTCTACTTTTAATTACTATATTTATCCGTTATCTGGTATTCATCTTTGGCCTCTGTACTTGCTCCTTGAAAATGAACGTCAGTTGAGTTTCTCTTTAATTATTACAGCATTTAATTGTTCTTCTCTTTCGTCTTCTCGCTTTTTCATTGTTCTCTTTCTTCAAGGCTCTCATTGTTGGTGTTCTTTTCCTTCCTTTTCCTCATTCTTTTCTGGGAATTTTCTCGTGCCTGGTGGGTGAAACGCTATTTTTTCTTCTTTTACTTCTCTATTTCTTTTTCTTTCTTTCTTTTTTTTCATTTCTATCTTTCTGTCATGTCTTTTCTTTTTTTTATGTTTCTCCCTTTTCTCCTTCATTATTGCCGTTCTTCTTCGTAACGATTTTCGCTTGTTTTTTTCGCATATTTAATTAAGAATATTCAGTGGGCTGACTGTTCGTCGTTTGGTGTCATACATTGTGAATATAATATTTTTGTTTTTATTTTCATACTTTCTTTTTGTTGTTACTGTTGTTTTTTTGTGAATTATACAGTTTTTTCGGTTGATATTTTGTGTCTTTGTTGAATTATACAATTTTTTCTGTTCATCCTAATTTTGTTGGTGTTATTTGTTGTTACTGTTATTGTTGTAATCGGAAAGGCCTATATATCGTCCCCTCCCTCGGCCGTTTGGCAGGTAGGCCTATTTGGAATATTATTTAAACGAATACATTCATCGCGATTTGGGTTGAAGGACTGTGAAGCATTTTTTTTTTTTTTTTTTTTTTTTGTCTCTCTCATTTTTAAAGGGATTGGGTTAGGGAAACGTGAAGAAATATATAAAAAAATGAGGATATTTTCCCTACTTTAAAAAAATGAAAAAGATACGAGTAAATAGATATATGAATGATTCTATGATTATATGAATGAATATATGATTTTAAAAAATGAAAAAGATATGAGTAAATAAATAAATGAATGAATATATGAGTAGATAAGTAATTAGTTCGATAGATAAATAGTTAGATACTTATATAGACAGACAAACAGATAGATAGATAAATAGACAGAGACAAATAAATAGATAAAATCCTTCGCCAGCCACGCGATAGGAACAGACTCCATCAAGACCTGGTGAGTTGCCCTTCGCAGGATATTGAGAGGAAGGAGGGAAGGAGCTCCTGATTATATGACGGATGGAAAGAGGAAAGGGAAGGGAGGGAGAGAGGGGAGGGAGGGAGGGAGAGGGGAGGAGAGTGGGAGGGGGGAGGAAGGGGAGGTGGGAGGGAGGAGGGAGGGAGGGAGGGAAGGTAGGGAGGGGGAGAGGGAAAGGAGAGGTGGGAGGGAGCTAGGGAGGGGGAGGGAAGGTAGGAGCGTGGGAGGGAGGATGGTGGGTGTAAGAGAGAGGGTAGGTGGGGAGGGAGGGAGGGAGAGAAGGAGGGAATGATGTTGAGAGGAAAGGTGGGAGGGAGATTTTCGAGATGGGTAACTCAGGTTCAGGGTACACTGTACACACACACACACACACACACACACACACAACACACA